TTGAAAGACTTGACCCACAAGTTAGTTATGTTAATGGCACTACTATCAGGGCAGAGACGCCAAACGTTACATTCATTGACAGTGTCTGACATGCACTTAACCTCTGACAAGTGCATATTTGTACTTAAAACATTGCTAAAAACATCCAGACCTGGAAGGCATCTCTCCACAGTTGAGTTCCTTGSCTACCAACCAGACAATCGCCTGTGCGTAGTTACCTACATGTTTGAATATCTCAAGAGAACAAGTGGTTTAAGACAGCCAAACAAGGATCAGCTGCTAATAACTTATCAAAAGCCACACCAGCCTGCCTCAGCTGATACAATCAGCCGCTGCATAAAGTATGTGTTAGGCAAGGCTGGAGTTAATACAAGTGTGTTTAGTGCTCATAGCACTAGGGCTGCAGCTACTTCAGGTGCTAAGGCAGGACACATATCTCTTGAGACTATTATGAAAAGTGCAGGATGGTCCAGTGAAAACACTTTTCAAAAGTTCTACAATATGCCTGTTGTTAATACTGAAAACTTTGGCAATGAATTACTTAAAGTTTGTGATTCACACAAATAAATATTTGTCTGTTATACAGTTATTATTGTGGTTGCATGGTGTTGAGCTCATAATCATGCAGCTTTAAAGTCTCACGTGACTCCCACCGACCAATGACCAATGATGAAGTAGAATTCAAAAATTAAACGAGACTTACCTGTAAGGTGAAGTTTGATTKGAATTCTACGAGTCATTGGTYGGGAGTGTGGGAGTTACGTGCCCACCCATATAGTTTTCTATGCTTTTATACCCACCCTTGATCTATTTGCATGATTACTCGCAGTTGAATATTGATCTCCCGGGTTCGTGCGCTCTCTCACGTAACTCCCACACTCCCGACCAATGACTCGTAGAATTCCAATCAAACTTCACCTTACAGGTAAGTCTCGTTTAATTTTTGAATTTTCAGAGGCCACTGAACGCCACTTCAGCATGTTAGTCTTGATTAAGGCCATCACGAAAGCCAATAAAACATTCTTTTTCGAAAAATATTAATATTTTTTGTTCTATCTGTACTCGAGAGACAAGAGTGCAAAAATAAATAGCTGTTAAAGGAAAGTCATTGGGATAATCTTTTCTTAATCTACTTGTGAATTAAAAACGTTTTCCTAAAACAATGTCATAAAAGTGAAGAATAAGATGATGTAAAGTTTTCTTTTTAATCCCATCTGAGATTATCATAGTGTAATTTAATGTGTTTTACAAATGAAGTTATTTTCAACAGATCAAAGCAAATAGTGAGCATCCAACACACCTCAACAAGAACAGCTGAACAAATACCATACAGGATCCATAAACTTCTTTTTATTGGAATAGAGCTCAACTTAATCATACTTCTAATTGACTCTCCAATCGAAAAAGAAACACAAAACGAAGCCAAGCTCTCAAACTAATTTTCTTCTCATTCTCATTGTCGTGACAAGGCCCTTAATGAACTGTTTGAGTGAATTATGGTCTGATGTAGTCAAAAGGCTATCAATCTTTTGGAAATAAAACCAACCAATGACAGAGCCAATATCCCTTAACCTCATAAGTGATTTTTCTCATTAGAAACTTTTTTCTAGAGTTGAATGAGAAAGGACTACAAGCTGTCGATGAATGCAGCTGATTGGTTTGGGTGTAGAAAGACATCTCGTGATAAAACATTTGATAAACGAAGTTTTTCAAGTGGAGCTTCGCAAAAACAACCTTGATTTCATTGTAACAAAAACTACCAGTTAGAGCATGCTTGCTACATGTAACCAAATAGCTTAAATGCTTTCTTTCTCAAACTGCTTTTTGTCATTTAAAACATTACTTCTTGTATTCAAGATCCATGGAAAAACGGCATTGCTCCTGTATTAAAACATATAATAAATATGTAACAGTAAAAGTAAAAAGCAAAGATCAAATAAATAAGAAATATTTAGGCAGAATAGTTCCAGTTTTTCTTCAAAGGGCAACTACAACAATAATCAAAAACAATTCTTTTGTTGTAGGCTCTATTTTGACGCTTTCATTACACCTGAATTAAAGAATAATTAAGAAATTCAGAAGTTTTGACTGAAAGAGGAGTGATTTTTAAAACGAAATGTGGTCTTTTGTTTTCAACAAAGAATAAACACAACTAGTATTACCCATTGTGTGTCAAATTCTCAAAAACACGTTTGTGATCCTTATGTACTAGACGCCATCGAATTCTGTCAACGATTTAACTTGTCCTTCTAAGGATTAAAGATTGACCGCTAAGATATTATTTTAAATAAAAAATACAGTGATATAGACAATCAATCTGTCTTCTCTGATGCCAAGGTATATGAGCATTCACTCGATCAACTATATACATGTTATACCCGTAGCCCTGCATGATTTCCCGTTCAAAATGTTTATAACTTGCTCTGGTACGTACTTTGTTGTAGGTGCCAATACTAGACGGAAATACTATCAAAAGAACGTCAGATCGCAGAAGCGAAAACCGACATCAGACTTCAGAACGTAAGTGAAAATTTCATCCAAAATTAGGCGGGATCATAGGGCAAGAGAAATCGTAAACCGCTCGCCACACAAGCAACGTTTGAATGAAGAACGTCCACGGGGCGGATTTACCTATGCTACGACCACAAAACTGATAGCAAAGCCACTTGATCGGGATAAGCGTTGAAGCTACGATTTTAATTGAGTGAACGTGAAGAAGCTTACCTGTCTTTTCCTTGATCTCACAGAGAACATTGAAAAGGGCGGGCTTCAAGCGATGGCAGTTCAAAGCATGTTTCCTATGTGAATGTGTTGAGAAAACAATACATTAACATAAAGCATGGACTTCTGGACAGCTAATAGTATACACAATCAGAAGAATGAACGATTTCTTGTCACCGTGACTCAAACTTGATGCCTCGATTATTCGAACAGCAAACGGTGTTCGATTTCACAGTTGACTCGTGCACTTACTTGGCTTGTGCTTCGTCCAATGACTGATCTGTGATGCTCATAATTTGCTGCAAAATATCGCCAATATCTTGCTTACGTCCGTCTAATTCCTCGGTTTGTTTCATCTCAGCTCCCTGTTGGCCATGCATCATCGATACAGAATTCACTGGCATCGGGGCAGAAGTATGCATCAATCTATCATTTCCTTCCATAGAACCTCTTAGCTCCGTCTTCCTTCGGCAAACAATCCAAGATGTCGTCTCACGGTGCTCGAATTTGGTCGATCAAAACGAGACGCTAGGCCGCCTTTGGCACTCTTAAATTCAAAGTATTACTTAGAAACAGGTTTCCCCAGCTGAATAGAGTTAGTGATGTTTATGTCCTTCGGGATAGCTGTTACGTTTTTTGTGAAAGAGTGTTACGCGCGGTTGGCGGTCGTGTTCTCGAGCTGCCACTCAACTTGTGTTTTAAGCAACGACGTGTCAATATTTTCCGCGTGGGTTCAGATTGATTGACAGCTCGTATTCTTCATTAGCATATCCAACTTCCAATAAATTTACAAACAAGATAGCATAAATCACCCGTTATCAAACTTCTGTCGATTGAAATAGCTTCAAGAGAATTTAAGCCAGATTAAATACTGGGAATAAATTTTATAATGAACTCATAGAGAACAAACGAAGCCATAAAACATAATTCAACATTTCCAAGATGGCGGACACTTTTGAGACAATGCGTCAATATTCATTTTGGTTGTCATAGTAACAGACACCAGGTGTTGGATGATGGGTCAAGACAAAGGCAAAGTGATAAGTGAAGGCGGTGAAAAAAACAAGAAAAACAAATATACTGCCCTTCGGCTTGTCTCTCATTTTCGTCACAATTTTGGACTTAAAATGACAATTTTGAAGTTCTTAATATGTGAAATGGCGAGACAGTCTAATGCTCTTTTTCTTAAGCAACAAAAACATCTTATTCGAACGTCTGAACAAGGCAAACCAGCGCTAATTTTTGTGAATAAACTCCTTGACAAATGAACAGCTTTTTGAAATATTGTAAAAATCTAGTAATATTCATTTCTAGTTTTGGGTTTATCTGGGATAAAAGGTGATTCTTATGTCTAATAATCGGATTAAAAACGTGAAATATCACGTTAGCTATCCCGGCCAGAAAATTGCCAAGCGAAAAATACATGATAAAAAAAAAATTAATTAAGAATCTGTAATTTAGAAATTACCAGTTTATCTAGCTTTCTCTTTATTATTAATATCAATTTCATTTATTTTTCGCTGCATAGGTTCGCAGTGGGAAATCTTGCGGTTATCATTTAACAAAAGAAATTAATTTGGGGCATACGAATTTTATCTGTTCTTTTCTTATTTAGAATAAAATTTTCGTGACATTTCGTCACGAAATGAATGAATGAGGCGACAAAATATTTATAGAAATTAAAATTGAACAAAGAGGATTTCTCTCTGCCGGTGGCGCATGGGAGGTAACGATACGAAACACTGAAAGGTTTTCTTGTCTCATTCACATTTCTAATGTTCCCATTTGTATCTTTTGAATAAACCCTTCGAACTTAAAAAAAGCCATTTGTTTAAAATAATCTAACTACTACACAGTGGCAGGTAAAGTTAACTTGAAAACAAACGTTATTATTTCGTAAAAATGCATACAACCAATAATATTCAAAATATTGAAAATGTAAAAAAAAAAACAAACAACAACAACAACTAAGAAAAGGGAATAGATGACATTATCTCGGTTGTGTACCTCGTTCATATGTTTGGTCTAAAAAAAGGTAGCTTATTATTAACCCCAGAATGGCACACGAGCTATTACTCGGGTAATATGGAGAAGTCCTTACCAGTTCCCTCGAACCACTCCGGCTATGTGCATGGCGACTAGAGATTTGTCGAAGAAAATGATGGACCTAAAAAAACACATGTTTAAGTTGAATTTGTATTACTGTTAAATTCTATCAACCCGCAACCATGGACGTTGAAATACGTTAGTGTTTTTTAATCATTTGTTTTTAATTTTTAATGCATTTTCAGCCGGATTAGGCTACCGCCCAAATGTGGCGACAAGCCTTTGACAATAACAAATTAATCATCTTCAAATTACAATGTATATATGTATATATATTAATTAAAGGCGCTGATAATTGGCCCCTCTTTTTAGTACTTGTTGTACATGACCGTGTGGTCGACCATGTAGCCAACGTATGTGTAAAGTCAGTATATGTCCGTACGTCAAGACTATACCATCGAGGAAGGACGGAAATCCTTGTGCAGTTTTCAGTTCAATGTAGCCATTAATTTAGTTTATTTGTTTGTGACATCAATTTAAGCTGATGACAGTTACTAATGATCACATGTGGGACTGAGACTGAGGGTGTTTTGTGGAAGGAAGAAAATCGGGTGAAAATTGAAACTACGGAAAGACTTCACTACTACCAAGTCATTCTGTAGTTCCAAGAATTGACTCGGCGGAGACCAGAGATGTGCCGAGACGATTGAACACTTGCTAAACTACACTTAGTTGCACTACAAGACCAGATTACCTGCTCAAATAATGTGTCCACAAATTGTGACAGGACAGCTATGAATGTCATATTCTTAATAAAAACACTGTACGTAAATTTACTTAATTAAAAGTTGACAGCGGGTGCTTGTTTGATTGATTGGTGCTCCGCGTTATTGATAATTCAATGTTTTCATATCAAACATGTATCAGGGACGTATTATCTCTAGAATAGAAGGTTTGAACCTATCTAGGATATGGTGTTTTTTTCAAATTTCATCTTTGAGTAAATGTGATAACAAGTAAAATGACTCAGTGTTGGTCGTGTCCGTTGCCATGCAAACGCTGCTAACGTCCGCCACCATAGCGTAGACCTCGTATGTCCCGGTCGATCTCCGCAACGAATCATGATTAAAGATACTACTTTATTCTTTTTTTTTTTTTATTTTATTTTTCCGGCAAGGAAAGAATGATAGATGCGTGACTTGGGCCGCTGAGTGTCTCAAGATGCGTCTTTGGGTATTTATCTATTCTTTGGTAATGAATCTCTAGCGTGTATTTACCAGAAGTTTGTTTTAATCAAAGTTAAGGATTGAACAGGGTGAAGGTTAATGTTATAAAAGAGAAGATATCTGGCTCGCTGCACCTAAAAACTCAATCAAAGTTTTAACTTGACTCCCAATTACGCGCGCAAACTATGTGTCCTCGATTAGTATTCTACTTGTCGTACGCTAGATAAAAACATGTGCTTAGCTGCATCGGAGGAATGAGAACGGCAGACGCAGTCCAACTACATCATCATCATCATTTAATTATTATTTCATCCAAGAGAATACATATTGAGAAAATTTCGTAAAAAGAGGAATATGAAAGATAATTACAATACATTTATGATACAATGCATATGAATTTCATGTAAAATATCTTTCTCAAGGATGATAGGCAGCTCAAAAGAGAAACCACCTTTGTTTTGAACGTTCTTATAATCATAATAATGATAAATAATCTAGTCAAACTTCTATTGACGTGTTCATAATGCACCTTATAGTATCTGATGTTTTAATTTGAAGAGAGAAAATGGTTGGGGGGAACGAAGACAATCAATGCTGGCTATCATTTTGTCTATTCCTTTTTTTTAAGTCTTAAAATAGGCCGGCTAGAGAAGGTAACCCAATTCGACCCTGTACTCGCCTTTTTTCTTTTAATGGCTCAGATTACTGGCACATGATAGGAAGGCTGCGTTAGACATGCACAGATTTCACAATACGTTACGTTTTTTCACATGAAAAAAAACGTCGAGAGAACTAAAGTTGTCACTCATGCTCTTCAATATCCTCTTTTCAACAAACGTTCTTTCATTTGATGGACGCCAAAGATTTTATTGACAAGCGGAATTCTTTCTTTTATTTGGGAAATGCCGCAAATTAAAAAATTATGGAACTAAAACATCCCGTTTACTTTACTGTCTTGATTAAAGGAAGCAGAGAGCACGCACGAAGCGATGTCTTTTGGACAGTAAAAATAAGCCAAATGAAAACAGCTGGGCTGCTCCACGCGTTCATGTGACGTAAGATAATCTCATTATCCAATCAAAACCTAGTTCCCAGTCGTCTCATTGGATGACAGCTTTTCATTGGTTCAAAATTACGACAAATGGTTATTTGTTTATCCATTGATGACATAATGATTGAAACGACGATTCGAAACTTTTAAATGTCCAGCGAGTTAACTGTTTGAAAGTACGTTCATGGATCAACGATAATCAAGGAATTCATGCGACTTGAATTAATCTTAAACGAACGAGAAACACACGAAAATTATTGAATCTCAATTAAAAAGAAAATTGAAAAAAAAAACATTCCCCATCATTACTGATTCGCAAAGTGGCTTTAGGTCCTGGGGGCCAATCACGCCGGATGGATGTTATGACATGATATTTGTATGCGGTAAGAATAAAGCAGTGGCCTAGGGGGTTCAGACGGTCTACCGTGACATGATTACTGCCGCATAGATCGATCTATCAAATAAACACATGCCATGCACCATCTCTTAAGGGTGTGTGCTGCACGTGTCACATGTAAAACCTACACGAAGCTTGATAAACCAATCAGTTTTACAAATGTCATGTTCAGGAATCAGGGTGAAGTAGTTAGATAACTAAAACCACTATCCTTTCCTTGAAGAGGGGACGTACAGAGGTGACGTAATATGCACTGTTATCTGAATCTCCGTGTCATGAATCAAAAGGTGCTGCATGGCGGAAGGGTTGCGAAGTCATCATTGGCGTATTCAGAATTTGCGCGCGCACATACATAAACTCACAACCTGTTTCCTGGCTGGTTCTATCTTGTCTTGGAGCTCACTACTCTATGTTCAACAAGGTGTGGTGGTGTGAGGTGAGGTTAGGTTAGGTTACAGGTGATGTGGAGTCGAGGGGATGTGAAATAGGGTGAGGTGATGTGAGGTGATTTGGGGTGAGGTGATGGGGTACGGTGAGATAATGTGAGGTTAGGTTACAGGTGATGTGGAGTCGAGAGGATTTGAAATAGGGTGAGGTGATGTGAGGTGATTTGGGGGTGAGGTGATGTGGGATGTGGGGTGAGGTGGTGCCGGTGGGATGTGGGGTGGGATGAGGTGAAATGATGAGATGTGGGGTGATGTGAAGTGAGATGAGGTGTGTTGAGGTGATGTGGGGTAAGGTGATGAGATGATATGCAAATTAAAATAGTTCATTATTTTATTTGCCGTTCCAAAGTTGAGAAATAAGTTGGCTCGAGTTTATATTGCAGTGTATTTTGGGGCATGTTTAGGGGACGAAATAGACTCCACCTTGAAAATATGTCCCGTAAAACAGCCGCAAAAACCAATGCAATTCAATGGTTGTCATGTCAACAAGGGTATATTGCACATTTTCATACGACATGTAGTGCAAGGGAGGGAAGTGCCAAGGCTATTCAACAAGGAAAGAAAAAGGAACTTGATTGCATGTACCGCTTCTTATTCACCTTCTATTGGTCGACGCTAACTGATCTCCATCAAATAACAGGCTTTTGTTTTTGGTTTGTTTATTTAACAAGATTGACTAAAATCCTATTAAGTATAGCATACAAATACTCATCAACTGAAGGCCGCGGATGAGGTGAGCAGTAGAACTGATGATTGAGAGCAAAACCTTTGATCAGTTTTTGTGTTAGTAAACGCCGTGAAATTCTCCTCGAAAATCACAAGGTTAGTTCTGGTTAGACTGAACTTTTCCACATTAATAAAAAAAGAATTTCAAGTTGATCGGATATTATCAAGAGCTGTTTGAAAAACGAAAATTATCAGTCGTGTAAATAGGTTGGTCTGACTTTCTGAAAAATGCCTGTTTTAATTTGTTAATTCTGAACAATATCAACAACTTTGAGAGTGCGTTTTTTGAGTAATAACAATACTGGAGGTGCTCGTTTTTGATAGGGATACAATTTGTTTTAGATTGTACGAATATAATATTAAACATCCCACAATATCTGGAATACAAAGGCAATATGTACACCATAAGTAATTTCATTTTTTAGTAATTTCTCTTTCTGACTACCCTGACTACCCTGAGGCAAGGTTAGGTATTTCAATAACGATGAACGGAAATGCGATTTAAAGTACATATTATCATTATTAATCCTTTTGGGTTTAAATATTTGTGATAAATAGACGAATTGAGGAAGGAGACAGGTACTTCCTGGGCTGGGAAGACCGACTCAGCAATTATAATCGACAGTTATAAGCTTCAAAATATTGCCATGAACTGGAAAATGGAAACTGAAAAAATGGGATCCGAAAAAAAACCGGAATCTCTTGATAATCTTAGTCCAGTCACATATATTATCTGTTTGACGGTTACACGACGGTTTTAAACAGCACTGGCATAATCTAGTGACTCCGCATCCAGTAAGTGATCATACAGTAAGGAAACAAACACTACCAAACTTCCACCTAACCGAACTCAGTGGAAGCAAGAGAACGTTCAAAGTATTTTCCTTAATAACAACGAATGAGTTATCGGCTTATGCAATGCTTTTAAACCCGAGTCTTCAGATCGCTATGCAGTTTGCATAAAAGGACTTTAAAAGTCTGTTTCAGGTCGCTTTTCCATTCAAATACACGCAAACGGCAAACAAGACCACATTTTCATCGTTTTTCTGTATTTCACCTTACCCTTGCAAATCTTCTCACTAAAAACAAATATTCTTTTGTTTATCTTGGAGAATTTTGATATTCATTTTCATTAATTTTAAGGAATTTTTAATGGTCAACTGACGTTTCACGATCAGTCCGTAAACGAGAATCTTAAAGTCTCTAATGACTGTTTCTAACCGCGTTAAACGGGTACATATCATATTGCGGTCTGAGTGTCAACTTGTCTCGATTCTTCTTACCCATTTATTGATAGTTCCATGAGCCCATAGTTACCGTTGCTAGGTGAGGAACAAAATTTCTCATATGATGTTGTATTTTCAATTAAAACGATTACAAAGACAAAGCGAAAAATATATATATTCTGGTTGGACTATCCATGTCTTTCTCTCTCAGTAAGCGAAGGGTAAGGAACCGCTTGCTGGCAATAACATCTGTCGTCAGTGATGTTTGCTGAACATGACTATAACTTTTTCATCCTTGGGGCTGTTTAAGTTGAACTATGAATCTAATTAAGCTTTGGCGGATCCAAGGTACCTTTCTTTTGTGAAATTGGAACCAACATTTGTGAAGCCAATCTTACCAGCTTTTTTCTGGGTGCGGTTATTTTGGAACCTCCCCTTTTTGAATTTCTGGATCCGCCCCCTGTTAACAGTACACTTCATTTTGAATGTAACGTGCCGATTAGAAAAAAATAAGGCATGTTAAGTTTATCTCGACTGAGTAACAAGCAACATACATACATTCAGAGTAGCAGAAGACAAATGCTTCATTTAATCATTAGATATATTCGATGAAAACATTGCAGCAGAATGATGATCATGAAACTAGAAAGAATGCCTTAGACTTGTTACATGTATTACATTAACTACTATGTATGACGAGTGGAATGAAAAGAATAAACAGTTGTTTCAACAGGAAGTGTTAGGATTAATCATGGGCGGGCTATAGAGCTAAAAATAATAACATTTATTTCACAATCAAAATCAGCATAGAATGTGTCACGACTATTTCTAGTGAAAAATGCTTAAACCCTGTGAAAGCCGATGATACCTTGTTAAACTGGCTCAACTAGATAGTCTTGTTTACTTGTAAAAGGTTATCATTCGTAAATGATGAAAAAGATGTCCCATCAAATCCAGTTATCTGTGCAAACATACTTACCCTAGTAGTTGAATCAAAAACATATAAAGTTCATTAATGAGTATTAATTATATTAATAATCATTTTTATTAATTACGCAAAGACACGCAAAAATCAACCAATCATTTTCGTGATGCGGCTTAATAAGTTCCGGCGATAGGATTCGACTAAACAAGTTAAAGGTGAAAAAATCGACCAATTTATAGTGTTGACAATTCGCTGAAATGAATCTGAAATAATTTCTTCAAAACACTCTATTTTCTAGTCAGCATTTAAGACTGATTTCTTGTTTGCGATGTTTGCGTGCGGCCAATGTACCGTGTACACGACAGAGCAGTTTTAAAAGATTGTCAGTTCCAAAATAAGTACACGATTTACTTGATTTAGAGGTGACACCTGACTTAATGCTTCCGAAATATGTTAAACAAAATTAAAACTGTCTAGTCTGTTAACTCATATTTGGATTTACTGCATGAGTATAGAACGAAACGAAAGAGGATCACGTATGTTTCACAATGATGGATTTTACATTATATGTGCAAGCATGACTCTCCGCATCTCAATTCTAAACACGAAATAAATATAAACAGGAAAAGTTAAGTAATAAAGTCTAAACTGGAAATTTCTTTTGCACGTAAAACCGTTACATTATTTATTTATTTATTTTGAAGCCAAGTGTAAGGCCTGAGAATGTTATAGTAATAGTCGTCACTGGCGTACTGAGAATGCATGGATAATAATTGTTATAATCTTAATCTATTGTATTGTTGGTGTATATTATTGATACTTCCTGCATGTCATTTGGTACTGGTGTGTTACAAGGCTTCAGGGTTAGAGGCCTGGGTACTCAGCTGTCCTGCTTGTTTCAATATATAGCACGACCTCTGACGTAATAAACAGGAATTTTTTCGAGTTATTGTTAAAGAGTTATGCTCCTTTCCAAGCAATCCACATGTATTCAGAAAAGAAAACAGTCCACACGTACGCAGGCGATGAGTGTTTAAACCTTTTATCACTTTCAAGGAGGTAAGCCTCAAAATATTTACTAATTTGTTTCAGTTGAAACGAAAATTCTCTTTTCTCATCTTTTCAACCTTTCATCGATCAAATTAATTTTTTTTTTCATGATGATACATTTAAACAAACAAATATATGAATCAGGTTTGAAGTTTCACATTATGTTTATTAGAATAAGAATATCAGCTGAAAATCAATTAGTAAAAATCAAGTGTCTTCATTTTTTTTTTTTCTTGTGGAAAATCACGATTCGAAAAGAAAAACACGCAGTAAAGCTAAAAGTGGGACTCCATGTTTTCGTATAGTTGAAGCTGCTCAAACAGCTATATGACTGGTAAAGATTTGTCTGTTAGTCGTATATATTTAGAACTGAAAAGCAGCATATTATATTACAGGTAAAGATTTGACTGTTTTCAAAGTGCATAAAACTATTGGATTGGTTGTGTGTTCTACAGATCCTTGTTGTAATCCTACTGTTTAACTGATCCTGCTGAGGCCTGGAAATAAATGGTAGAAGGGGAAAAAGAGAGAAAAGAAGATAACAATGATTGGACCTTATCTAATCGGTGTTTCTTATTCAGATTTTTTCAAATACTTTCTTAAGATTACTTTATGTTTTCGGAAGTTCCACCGATATAAGCTCATGTTCTGCATATTCAAACACAGATCTAGATCCATCTTCCTGTTTTCGTCTACAAACGCGCATTATAAATAATTAATTCATGTAATTATGAAGTGTTCTCGTTCAAGATAATCATACAATCAGTTTAGCATTCGCTTAGCCCTGCAGTCGTTAACGGCATGAAGTAACTTCCTGTTCGATTCCTTAGAGATATCCTATCGAATGTTGTCTCATCTTATTCTATACAGCGATATCCAGACTTCGTTCATGTAAAAAAGAACACCTAGAAAACTACAATCAAAAGCTCCTTCCTTGGCCTATTAAGACCCTCGTGAACAAATTGCGCAGATTAATCTAAAATTATTTTACCTAATTGTTTTAGATAATTATTTAATCAATTTGAAAAGATTTATGATTTGCATGGCGCAGGAATGACGAGGCACCTTTTAAAGGCTGGAAGCTAGGCTAATCTCTGCTTTTCTTCACAACAGAACTCATACTAAGACAACATAAGAAAGTGGGGCCGTTCCCTACAGAATAGGAGACTTGTAAAAGGAAAAAAAGAAATATTTGTTTATGTTCAGTGCAAACAAGATAATGACCACTAGAAAACGTGATGAATATTATCCTCCTATTGTTGATTTTCACTTTTAGTGAATAAATTAAAAGTGCTCTTTGACTGTTTTTTTCTCTTCCATTCTCTTTTACACTTGCAAATTCTTTAGTTTCGCCACAATTCCGGTGTCAAGTTGCTTGTACTTGAAGCCATTAATATGACTCCCATGCAGTTAGACAGCCATCAGTCGTGAGGTTTCACACGGCAGACAGGCAGGTATTGATTCCCCAGCTAATAAATATTGATGGGAGTCTATCTATTATTAGTACGAGTTACGAATAAAGGTAAGAAACGATGCTTTACTAGAATATTTCTGATCATCAGTCAAGTAATCGAGTGTTACATGAATTGGTTTAATCGCTGATAAACTGGGATACAGTATTTCCCAGGACGATGCTTTCAGTGTGAGTCCTCTCAGTTTTCGGGGCGTTTTAGAGTAGAGTTTTTTCTTATTTCTAATCTTTCATATTTAATTTCATCTTACCATGACAGTCATTCACCATGATCTACAGCAGAGTGTATTGGCTCCTATTCAGTCTCATCGTTTGTTCTGGGCCGACTTTCCCGAAGATACATTGCCCAAACATCTGCATATGCGAAAAGCAAGAAAAAGGCCTGCTGAATATTGTGCGTAATGTCACTAATGCGGCTAACCTTGGTTCTCAGATCTTGTCGAAAGACACCAGAAAACTGTAAGTGAATGAATGAATAAATAAATGAATAAATGAATGAATAAATGTGAGAAAAGAAAAATGCAGCAAATAACATGTCTACGAGATAAAACTACTGCTTCTTTATTAAGTAAAACCTAAAGCTATTTTCTGATGGTTAATTTAATTTATTTGACTTTAAAATGAGATTTTATCATCACCCGGAAAAATCTCCAAGTGCTTTACAAATAGGGCAAAGAATAATTCAAGTGATTAAACACGGCGAATAATTGATGCTACGTCAAGTAACAGGTATAAGATCTATTAAAAAACATGAACGAGGCTTGGATGGAAAAAGAAATAAGAACATTTGATCCAATTTGACTGGGTGAAGGTATGGGTAATTATAAAAAGACTTGATTAAAAAATCGAACAACGACAAAATTAAAAGCATGTATTACTCGTTGACTGAAAAATATAAAAAACAAGTGTAGAATGCTAGAAAAGAGTTGTAAAGAATTCTGACTTTAGTTAGATGGTGCCGACAGAACGATCGGGAAAATGTTTACTTTTGGCAAAGCAACGTGTTTTCATGTGAATTTGCGCGTTCTCGAGCAGAAACCGTTGAGCTGAAAGACGCTTAATGAGAGAAAACACTTAGTATCACAGCACCTGCTGAAATTAAACAAACCAGCTACATATGCAACAGGAAAGGGTCTCCTTGAATTATTTCTTTGCATGTACGGGTTATCACTTTCATTATTTATTAATTGTTACTAATACTTTTACTATTATTACTAATAATTTTACTATTATTACTAATACTTTTACTATTATTACTAATACTTTTACTATTATTACTAATACTTTTACTATTATTG